ATCAATGGCCAGGCAGCACCCAGCCTGGGGACTCACACGGGGCTGCCTGCCGCCCACCCTGACTGTGTGGCAGATCTGCGAGGGATGCCGCCCAGGGCCACCAGCCTGGCTGCCCCTGTAACAGCGGGCTGGGGGCCCCCAGGGTCCAAGGTGGCCTCTGCTCCCACGAGCCCTGTCCCTGCAGCTCCCTCAGCAGCACCTGCTCCCTTCCCACTGCCCCACAGGGAAGGCAGCAGGCCCACTGCCCACCCTCGCCCACGGCTCACCTCACGGGCTCTGGAATTTCCTCCAGCACCAACTGGAACACGCTGTGAAAGTGTCTCAGCTGCAAGACAGACAGAACCTGAAAACCGCATGTGCCAGGGTGCCCTGCCCCTCCCCTCTGCCCAGCCACCGGGCCCCTCCAAGGAGCAGCTGCCTAGCAGGAGTGCAACTCAGGGCTGGCAGTTGCCCCCCACTTAAGACTGAAGCGCCCTCTGCAGCAGGGCCTGGGCCGGGGCTAGTCTCTGGACCTGATGCCAATGGTCCCTGAGCTGTGCCCTCTATGGGTCTGAAGCCCCAAGCAACCTGGACAGGCAGTGAGGCCTGACGTTGGGCTGAGAGCAGGCCTGCTGACAAGGTCTGGGCACCGGTCACACCCAGTTCTCACTCCCCACTTTCCTCTTTCTCATGGTGCTTTGAGCTGGAGCAGGAAGCTGGGTCACCCTCACCCGTAGGAGCCTGCCCCTCCCCCTCTATGGGGGCAAGGAATGAAATGCTGTTGATGTGGTGTAAATACAGAGGACCCCAGAACTGAGCACAGGACCCTGGAGCCTTTTTGCTGCTGGTGAGGTGTGCGTGGAGTCAGGACCAGGCAAAGTGAGCTGCTTTGTCCTGCACCCAATGCCAAGTCCTCCAGTCCCCCCCTTTCCGCTAAATACCAGCCTCGGCAGGGCCCCCGAATTTCAAAAGGCCCAGCTGTGGCTTCAGTGTTACTAAAGAACTGCGAAGGAGGGGGAGAAGGTGGTACCCCACCACATGGCTACCGAGATGGCCCCACGTTAACCTCAGAAGGAGAAAAGCTCAGGGTGAACTCGTGGTCGGTGTGGGGGTTGAAAGTCCCCCGCTGGGGCGTGATGGAGAAGGCGGTCTCCCTGTCGGGGTGGTACTTGATACTGTCGGCGCTGTAGGCTTCTCCGGGCATCAGAGGCTGCAGGTTGGGCTTCATGACCTGCCAGTGGAAGGCCAGCTCCACGTGCCTGTGGGGGCGACCTGGATGGTGGGCAGCAGGCCCAGGGCTGGTCCGTCTGCCCTGTGCCTGGCCTACCTGAAGGACGGGGGTGCAGGGAGGAGCTGGGTACGAGACAGCAGCAGGTGGGTCGGGGGTCCAGACCGGAGCCCTCCGAAGACCCCTCTCCCCAGTCTCACAGACTCGAGGGGAATGAGAAACATAAGGGCTGGGGCTGTGCCGGTCACCTGGAGGTGCTCCCAGATAGCAGCAGTTTCCTGAAGTGCCTCTGACCACACGGGAACTTCAGAGGTTTCCCACCCCTGCCCGCAGGCCTTCCAGGACAGTTCTGTCCATGGCTGGCCACAGGAGACAGACCCACGGTGGTGGGTGGGTCGATGCAGATGGCAGACAAGGGCTGCTCCTCCTGCAGGTGGCCGAAGCCTCAGGAAGGCCCGGGGACGCCCCTGAGGGGTCTGTCCTGGTATATTGGTGGTGCTCAGGGTGGTCAGGAAATAAAAGGTAGTGAGAACGGAACCCACAGGCCGCAGTCTGTCCCCTCACGGCCAGGGCAGGCCCTCTCTGGCTAAGGATGGTCTAGGATAATCCGAGCAGCACTGTCTGATACAACTTCCTGTGGAGGTGGAAATCCACGCCTGCTCTGTCCAGTGGGATGGCCACTCGCTCCACCTGGCTACTGAGGACTTAAAATGTGGCTGGTACCACCGAGGAAATGAATTTTAAATAGTATCTAATTTCAATGGAGACAGCCACACGTGAGCTAATGGCTACCATGACCCGACAATGTAAATCTGGATCCTTCTATTCTGCGCCCAGACTCTTCCCTGGTCCTTGGGAGGAACCTCTGGCAAACTCGGCTCCAGGGGAGGCAGAAGGGGCGTGTTCAGGGCGGTACTGCCCAGGGGTCACTCACGTGGCATTTCTAATAATCAGCTGTTTCCTAGCCGTGGACTGAAGGTTTTCGGGCTCAAAGCGTATGAAGTGCTGGGCTGTTAAGTCTGTGAACTCCCCTGGCTCCGGTTGACTTTTTTCACCAGAAACATAGATCAGATCCAGTGCGACCAGCTGCCCGATTCCTGACAAAATAGGGCAGCAAAACCTCAGCAGGGCTGAGATCAGGACTCTGTGGCTACAGGTGCAGGGGCCCTGCCACCACTTATGGGCAGCAGGCTTTACCACGAGCCGGGCACACAGAGGGGACACTCATTCACGTCCCCAAGTACTTAAGATGACAGGAGCTAGTTCCGAAGACCTAGTATCAAGCAGACATGCAATTAATGCTTGCTGAGTGAATCTGGATGGACGGACGGACGGACGGACGGACGGACGGGTGAATAGTAGGTAGGTATAGGGGAAATTCAGAAGGATGCCCTTCTAAGCCTCCAGAAACCTGTAGGTGCCTCTGGTTGTTTATGTATGAGTTACTGGTTATTCCCCAAAGGACACTAAGGGAAGTGATCTAAGTGAAGCCCTGAAAGATGTCACCCCAAGGTTTCCATCTATTACTATAAGGATCCCTGGAGCAGTCCTGGAAAACCACACCGGCTCGGGTCACCAAAGTCTAGCCAGAGCAGGGAGCCCAAACCTAGACCCCAGCGCCAGGGGGTAGCAGGCACAGGGTGGGCCTGCTGCAACAACTTGTGCCCTGGGAGCACATGCAAGCCCACCTACGGTCACCACCTCCTTGACCTGACAGTTGTCGCACACGATGACAAAGGCCTGCTCTGCCTTTCCGAGGTTTGTTGGGAGGAACAAGACCTGGAGAAGAGAAGGGGGCTCTGTTATCTCCCATGAAGGGCCTTCTACCCTCCCCTTCTCAGACACCCCCCCCAACATGTTCTCCCCTTTTCATGCCCCTCCCTGGCACCTCCTCAACTTTATACCTCCTCTGCACGCTAGAGCAATGGATTGAGTACATGGGAACCCAAGACAACATGGAAATGAAAACCTTCTAGAAAAAGTTTCTCATTGCCCACATTGGTAAAGAACAGAAAGTTGACTACCATAGATGCAATGATACACCATCTTGATTTTTTCAAAATAAGCTGGAGCAGCAGGGTGAGATTTGGTTGGAAGAGACAGAAGGGTACAGATGTAATAAGGTTGGCCAAGACATGATAAATGTTGAAGCTGGCAATGAGTACATGGGTGATTATCAAGCTATTCTTTTTTTGTACATGCTTAAAATTATCCACAACAATGTGTTGTTGTTGTTAAAGTTTGATAAGACACTGCAATGGCAGGGGTGTGAGGAAACAGGGATTGTTGTTGGAAGGATAATGATAAACACACATGTGGGGATTCAGGTGACATGTGTCATAATTATAAGAACAGACATCTCTGAGACAACATATTCAACTTAAAGGAAAAACTCAGTGAGGCAAGTGATGCATGTGTAAGTTACTCATTGACATTGCCAGATACTGTATCTCTCTGTAGGCGACAGTAGACCTAAACTATGGCTCAGTCACACTGTGAAATATTATATAGCTGTGAAAAATGTATCATTATGCTCTATTGGAAAACAGAACAGAGTAGCATACAGAGGGACAACCCTTTGTGTGAAGGAAAAAATGGACACAAAGAAAAGAAAAACATGCCCAATGGCTGATTTAGGACCACATATCACTATAAGGACATTCAGAAACCTCAGGAACTAGGGTGAAAGGGAACATGGCAATGTTTTTACAACTGTATCTTTTGAATTTTTAATCATGTGAATTTATTATTTCAAAATATGAATAAATGTTAGGTTAAGCAAAACTCTAAGCCACTAAGAGCCAAAACACACAAGGAATGTCAAGGAGAAAAACCGACCTGTCTAGGGATTCTGTGGGGAACTGGTCTTCTTTTCCTTGGGGATCACAGATGGATGGGATGAGGGGGAACATTCTGGTATGGTCGGGGGGATCTACTCCAATTGTTAAAGTTACAGCTATACCCAGAGGACCCAACCCACATCTCAGTAACAGCCCTACTATGCGCCTGAACAGATCTGGTTCCAGCCCCCAAGAGCCAGGTTCTCCTCAGGGATCAGATGAGCACAGAGATGAATACGAGAGCCAGGCCCCACGGCACCAGAACAAGATCCCGTCAGACGCTAGAAACTGGAAAGTGGCTGATAAAGGAAGCCCTCTTTTATAGCATGGCAAAGAGGCTTACAGCTGTGTTCCGCTACACACCAAAATCACATGGGGAGCTTTAAAAGTCCCCATGCCCAGACCACACCCAAGACCAACTCACTCAGAAGCCCAGGTCTGGGGCCCAGACATGTGAGTCTGTAAGTGTCTCAGTGGCCCGCACCTGTGCCTCCTGGCTCTCACTATCGATGACATGGTGCGGGCCAACAGCTTTTTATTCTCAGACAGGAGGTCCCAATATGGCTGGTGTGGAAGGTGGCACATGCCTGGGCAGCCCCCACACACTGCTGCAAGGCAGCGCAGAGGCAGACTTGCAGACTGGGGAGTCAGGGAGGGCAAGGGCCCAGAGCAGAAGGGACAGGAAGACACCCCCACTTCTCATACGCTCTTCTGGGGACTCGTGGTGTGGTGGGCCAAAGGGAACAGCGAAAGGGGCCAGTGAGGAAAGGAGAAGCCCACAGTGAGGGGTTAGACTGGAAACTTCTGCAGAGGCTTGGAACAAGGCCGAGGCCTTGCTTACTATGAGGATGCGGGGACGAAACAGGAGTGAGACGACACCAGAGGCAGCAGTGGGTGAGCTGCGCTCAGAGCTCGTGATGTAAGGGCCGGAACTCTCTGCCCTGGCTGGGAGAAGTCACAGTCAGTCAAATGGCGTCACCCCTAGAAAGCAGGACCTTGCCCCTACACAGGAACCACTAAGAAGTGGGTGTCAGGGTGAAAACATAGAGGGAAATGAAAGCATGCGGGCCCCTGAGGACAGTCACAAGCCATCTCGAGGAGGACACGGGTACCCAGGTCTGGTGACCTACCTCCACGAGGATGGCCTGCCCCGGTGCCAGCTCGAACACAGACGGCAGGATGCCAAAGGGAGGTTGTTCAACAAAGCCGACGGTTGCAACAGACTTGAGGAAAAGCAGATGACACAAAAGCGTGGAAGAAGCTGTAACACTTCTCCCTTCCAAACACCACATTTGCAACCTGAAGGGATCTCAAGGATCAGCCCACCCCTTGTTAATGAAGAAGCTGAGGCTCACTGCTCCTCCTCCTTCGCCAGCCACCCAACAGGGTGCTGAAGGTCAAAGGCAGGAGTCACAGAGATCCGTGCCGAGCAGACGGCGTGCGGGCCGGACGCACAAGGCATACCCGGGACGAGAGCTTCAGTCTCACGCAGGAGCGTGACTCCGTCTGTCCTGGCCACAGCCCCGTGAGGGTGGTGCCCCTTCTCGTCTGCTCCACCCCGAGCCAGGAGTCCTGAGGGCAGCCACCATCTTGTTAGCAGCCCTGTGGCTTGCTACCAACATAAGGAACCATTTATCACGCCAGGGACACAGCCAGACCCAGAGGACCTGGCAGGCAGCAGAACGATCAGCAGTTCCCCAGAGACACAGGCACAGAGAAGCCTTTCTGTGTAGACATGTGTGCAGTGCTCGTGTGATGGACAGTGGGTCCTCACGGGGCTGCCCTGGGGCTGCGGGGAGCCAGGCAACAGGAGTGGACACGCCTGGCTTGCCAAGCCCGGACAAGGCCACAGTGGGTCCTGGGCCAGGGCGCACACTGTCCAGCTTTTCGGAGTCTGGATTTTGGGGTGAAATCATCCTGTTTTTAAATGTTGGCTCAGAAAGTGTTCTTACACACTGTGCCCACTCAAGATGCCCACAAAATGCAGGAGCTCTGATAGACTGACATTTGCTCCATAGTGACCACGGACTGAGCAAATGCGAGTCGGGCCTTGAAGGATGAGAGCGGGGTTGCCTGTCTCGGGGCCATGCAGGCAGTGAGGGCAGGACAGGACTGCAGCTCTGGTGACCACACAAACTGGTCCTCACCTGCACCAGGGCAGTGGCTACAGAGGTTCTACAGTTCTGTTTTCTCAGTCCCGATCACAGGCACACTCTGCCAGTCCCTCACAAGATGCAACTTCCTTCGAAGGACTTGCTTTTCCCCGGCAGCACCCTGTGATCGCTCACCCTGTAGCTGTGTGGGGGCCAGCTCTTCTTAGGCATAATGCAGAACCTGCCGACGCTGAAGCCCACGTTTCTGCAGAGGAATCTGGTCATCTTTATTCCTCCAATGAGGCAGTAACCACAGTTCAGCTCCTGCGACACTGCAGCCGTAGGAAATATGCACTAGAGAAATAACCTGACACTCCAAACCGGCCCCTGTCATTGTCCTCCTGCAGCCCAGAGCCCAGAGGCAGGGCCTGGGGGCCCCAGCCTGGCACCCCAGCAGGAGAGATGGATGGGCATGTGCCCTGACCTGTGCTGGCAAGTACCATGGGAGCCTATACATTCATGGCCAGAGCAGCGGAGTCAGTGCCCACGGTGGCCTTGGGCCTTAGCCAGGGCCACCCACAGGGCCCTGCGGGGTATGGTCAGAGCCTCGACTTCCAGCTGCACCACACTGAGAGTCTTGGAATGGAGACAACGTCAGTTTCCCAAGGTGCCACCCCATAGCCGGAGGAGACATCACTGAGGACTCTGTACCCCTTCCTCGCTGCAGGAAGGCGCAGGCCGGCAAGGCCTGGGCTCTGGGGTGAGCCGGACACTGACCCCTCCCTCTGTGGGTAGTTCGAGTCAGCCTCCACTGGGAAGTAGGGCCTGGGCCTGACACCATGGAGGACTGTGTGGAAGCCACTAGCTTTCCCTCCTCAGGAACCAAGATGATCAAGCCGTGAGCTCCCAAAGAGGCAGTGCTTCGAGAGACCGGCCACCCTAGCTGAATCCCCAGGAGGGCGAGCGCACACTTACGAGTCAACACTGGTGGCGGCCGCCGTGCCTGCAGGGGGATCAGGAGCGTGTGAGCCGACTGGGTCTCGACTAAAATAAAATCGTCAAAATCCCCAAGGCAGTCGGGAAAAAACTGAATAGTGTACTGGCAGATCATTCCGGGAGCCACCATTCCACCTTCTCCTGGGAACATCCCTGTGGGTAACACAAGTGCCCAGTGAGGCTCTGGGGACAGGCACACACCTGGACTGGGCTCAGCCAGAGGTGCAGGCCGCCCCTGCCTGGCTGGGACTGGCTCTGTGAGTATTCTGGGTCCCGGCCAAGGCCCTGGCAGAAGAGCAGGGTGCTGGGGAACAGGATCCAGGGGGTAACAATGTGGTCCATCTGGGGGGAGTGGGGTCATGCCTGGCTCTGCAGCGTGGAATGGATTTTGTGGCAGCTCACAACCACTTAGGATTTCTGAGCGGGCGCGACACGGTCAGAGTTATTCTCGAGAAAAGCACGGAGAGCTGGAAGCAGGAAGCCAGGAGGCCACTGCCTGGATTGCATGAAGCCTGCAGGGTACACCTCCTTGGGACTGATACGCAGGGGCGGTGTTCTGAGGGAGGGTCAGAGAAGAATGGGCAGCTTGTCTGCAGAAGGGGAGAGGTCCCATGGGACTGGGGGAACTGTGGCCGGAGCCCAGGACAGATGTGGGAGTCACCTGAGGGCGAAGTGGGCCAGTGTTCCAGAGCAAGCCCAACCCATCATTCCCAGGCAGACCAGAAGTGGGCAAATCTGAGCTCACCCAGTCCCAGAGAGAAGTACGGAGTGAAAGGCGGGAGGACTCGCAGGAAGCGGCTGGTCGAGGTGATGTTTTGCAGGGAGATTGCCATCTGTGCAGAGGAGAAGAACGGGAGGTCCGAGTTCCCTTCCGGTAGCGGGGACAGGGATTGGGGCGAAAATGAAAGGAGCTTGGCGCCTGTTGGTACTGGTGGGCTGCTGACAGCCACGTGGGGAGTCAGGATGCTACGGAATCTACTTTTGATTGTTTCTGGAAGTTTACATAGTAAACATAGTAAAATGTAAGGTGATCACGAAGGTAGAATAGATCTCACCTATTCTTTGTCGAGTGTAAAGTAACAGTCACTGTTTATTAAGCATTTCCTACATGCCTACTCCAGCTCATAATAATAGCAAGGTGAGAACTATCTCTGTTTTAAGTGAAAGAAACTGAAGTTCAAAGAAGCTCCCTAGCCAGTGCCAGTGTTGACACGTTGAGCACACCCCTTGCACCTACTTCCTGTCTTCCGGCTTCTTCACGTGTCCCTTTGGGCTACATTTTCCACGGGCCCAGTCAAGGGGTGTAATGGGCATTGGAACACCAGGGCTGTAACTGGGCATCTCTCCATCACTCAACCCATCCTGCCCCAGTTAAGCCCTGCCTTCTCTTCTCCCTCCCTCAGATTAGGAGACACCCCACCCCCTCAAAAGCAAGACCTGGAATTAATATTCTGCCAAACCCTGCACCCCCAAAACAAGAGCAGCTTTGTATGTTTACACATCTTTTGCTTCTACTTTGTGAAACAGGGAGAATAGATAGATGATAGATTAAATAGACAGATTAGATATAGATAGATGATAGACAGATTTCAGCATGACCAAAGTTATGTTTCCATCATTCAGACTGAGAAATGAAACATTACAAACAGATGAAACCTCACACCAGTCCTTTACAGCTAACTTCGAAATGTGCTCACCTTTGCATAGGTATACATTCCTGCAACATTCAAGTCCTCTTGGGGCCAGCACAATATATACTGTCCCAATTCACCTCTGAATCAGAACTAAGTGGGGAGTCCCACATCACAATTTTGATTTTCATTCCACTGTTACTATTGATTACAAGCTGCTTCTGCAAGTTTCTTTGCTACTACTGAGGTTTCTTCTTAGATGACTTGTCTGTTCCAAGTTGCCATCATGTATTGATACTTTGTCTTTTTCTTACTGATCTGTAGGAGGCTTTGGATATTTGGGTGGTAATTCTTTTCATGGTATGTGATAAAAACGCCCAAGTTCAGAATTTGTATTTTGGTTCTAGTTTCTACACTTTCAAAATAAAATGTATCAACCTTTTAGGTTTGTGTTTCAGCTGTAGGAAATCTTCCCTTACCTGCCATGTGGTCTTCTTCAAATGTTACTCTTTTACCCCAAGATCTCTGCTGGAAAGTACTTTGTCTGGGGTATGAAGTGAAGCAGGGATTTAAGCAAAGCTACTAGCTCACTTCTCTCTCTTCAGGTCTTTCCTGATCCCTCAGATGGGCTGCTGCTCTCTTAGAGCCACACCAGGCACACTTCAAACAGTGCAAGCCAGGAAGCTCCAGTTTAAAGGGCCCCTTGAAGAATGTCCCACAAGACTAAACCATCAGTTACATTGGTAGTCAACTTGAAAATACATTTTTTAAAAAAGATTTGTTTAGGGCCCTCCCTGGTGGCGCAGCGGGTTAAAAGACAGCACTGAGAATCTAAAGCCGCTTCCGCATGAGTTCGATCCCCGCCTGCCCCGG